GTATTATCAAATCATAACTTTTCAATATGTCATTAAAATGCAGTTTCCACGTCAAAACTAAATAGTTAAAGAGTTTGTGAAAATCACATGTTGCTTATCCAAGATGAAGCTTCAGTCCCGAAGCAGTTAGCTTAGCTGACAATTAAGTCTGCAAGGAGAAAATCCAGGTAAAGATAGAATATGCAACAATTCTTCATCAAAATGTCTAAAAACAAGTAGACCTATGTTATATATTCAATTGACTTATGTACTCACACTATCCATGTTACAAACAATGTTCAAACCCCCCGAAAACTCCCTAATTGTATTCAATTAACAGGACATTGTAGTTTTGTCATTTAACTGTTGCCTTCTATAATCTGGGGGCAAACAACTAATGACAAAAGAAAAACACTGCTAGCCAGTTTGCCGATAAGCCAGGCAGCTCATTTTCCCTTCCATTGTTTAAATTGGTCACTCGTAATCAGGGTTCTCTCCTTTTTGAAAGTTAAAAAACCGCAAAATTCAAGAGCTTACTGATCCTTTACATAAACCTCACGACCACACAAAAAGATTAAGGTTTACCATGATGGGCAGTAGGGATAAACACAGGCTACCACCACTGGTGTCCATAAAAGCTAGCCAGCAGCACTGGCAGTGTCTATAGGAAAAAGTTTTAAAAATGTTGTTATAGTAGGACACTGTGCTTGAAAAAATTCCCATCAGCCTTAAATACATCGCCTGCAAATGTATGGTCAATTTATGGTCGTAATTTAGTTGATTTAAATTGAACACTTTTGAAGACTTTTTAAAGAGCCGAGAGAACCCTGGTAATTGATCACAATTACTCATTGACATTTGCTGAATAAAGTGAATAAAACATAAATAAATTATCTGTGAAAATGGTTTTTGTCTGAGTTTGTGTCCCGTCAGGAAGATTTTTATTGGCATTTGTAAAGACATTCACATTATCAAACTAAGTGTTCTGTCATTGTGGCTGAAGTTACAAATTGTACATTTACAGTTTCCATGTAGATATTTAATTTGTTTAATCTGTACACAAATAGAAAGAAAAAAATTACAAAGATTTGTAGATTCGTGGGCTTTTTAGCTCATCAACATCTGGTCTCATTTGTATGATGGAAGCAAGAGAGGTATAGAACCTCTCTAAGCTTCGACAAGAAAGCCAAAAGACATTTCCCAAAATGTTGATTCGCCCTTTTTGACATAAAAAACAATTTGTCTCTTTCTCTGGCAATTCTTCCAAGCATAGTTACTCTTCATCTTCCTCCCTTAACGGCTTCACTCGTCTCAGACTTGTTCTTCTACAATTACAGCAAACTTAAGGGTGGCTGTAGCTCAGGATGTACAGCGAGTCCACTAATTACAGGTTTGCCAGCTGCCCCCCGTTCATATGTCAAAGTGTCCTTAAGCAGGACACTGAACGCAAATTACTGCAAATGCCTTGTATGTGTGTGGAAGGGCAAATTGTAAAGCACTTTGAATAAAAGCACAATATAACTGCAATCCATCTAATATACACTTACCACTTACTTAGTGCTGAAAAGAGTTCCAAGTGATTTCACATCAAATGGAACCCATTGGCTCAAAAATGTAAAGTTATGCAGAGACTGACGATTTGTTTATTAACCACATCCAGAAGGTCAGGACGCATTAAAAGATACACGCATTCATGGACTGAGTGGTGTCAAGACACGATGGCTATTCATACACTCAATGTGTGATGTGAAAAAGGCAGTGGTTAACCCTTTTTTATATGTCGCATTTTAGAAAATGGTCAAACTGAAGAATAGCATGCGTCCTTCTTTCACGTCTATTTTTGTGTCTGTAGGAGAATTGCTTTTGTGTTGATGTGCGAGGAGACAACTAATAAGTGTCATTTTGAAAATGGCACAGCGGAGCGGCAGGGAACATAATTCCACAACGTTACCAAAGATTATCGATAGCTTTCAAAATATAAACAGACCTGAGAAAAATCAATAAGCCCCCTCTGATTTCACTACAGTAGAAACTCACACTGACATTTACCATTATAACAGAACCGTTTTTACGACGACTTAATAGCAAGATTGCAACAATTCCATTTCACTTAAATTTGTTTTCAAGACTAAATCCTAGATTTAATGTTTCTAATGACTTTCTTTAATCTTCTCACCTGATTCTCAGCAAGAAAGTGAATAAACTTATTTCTGTAAACCCTTCCCTCAGAAACAGTTTCCTAGACAACAAATGCCTCAGGGAAAGTGTATTATGCTGTTGCCTGAAAAAAGGAAATAATTTACCACAATATGGCAGTATTCAAATTTATAAATGACCATATGTGGTGGTGAAGCAAGACAACAGAACAGTTGTTGACTGCACCAGCTGTGCCCAGAATTCACAGTTGAATAAGCAAAGATGGCAGAAAAATAGGTAATCTTCCTGCACAGGAGTACAGACTAAAAACAAAGCAAAACCACTGGCTCTATGCAAATAGGTTCATCAGTATAATAACACAACATTATTATAGTGATTACATTATTGTATTAGAGTGTGAGATAGCATCAAATGTGTTTAGCAAAAGCTGTATCCCATAATGTCACCTTAATAACCACATTCAGAGCTGCTGTAGGAACCACGTCTTATCTCCTTAATTCAGGGCCCCAATTATTGCTCAGCTAATTAAAACTCTGAAACAGTATCACTTAAATGACCTCATGAGGGGAGACCTCATAAGAGTGGCTCCGGGGCTGAAATAAACATGCAGCATTGTATGTGTTTACTCTCCCGGTCTTCTGGCAATGTAGCGTCTCTGTAGCAGGTCCGTATTGATCGCTCACTATTCATCAGCACAGAGAGACAGTGGTGAAAAGGTTCAACCGACTGATGAACGAGGTAGAGAGGTCAGGAGCAAGACAGGAAAGAAAGGAACTACAAGAAAGACTGGAGAAGGAATGCATTGTATGAGCTTCCAGGTAGGGGGAGAAGGTCAGACTTTT